ATCACCGACTAATCAACAAAAGAGGACCCCCCGGTAACAACTCGACTGCTACCCGCATTCACTACGCCCTCGATCCCCAGATTGAGGGACACGCCTTCGGCACCTCCCAGGACGTCAACAACAACCCTCCGGCTAATCAACACAGGAGCCCTCGGAACAAGGAGAGCCTTCGGCATTACCATTATTCTCCATTTAGAGCCAAGGTTTCACATTTTCGATTCATCGTTGGGGGAATTCGGTGCACTCTTTTTCCCTCATTAGGATTTTTTCCCGCAGGGTTTTTCCTAATGAGGTTTTTAACGAGGCATCCCCCCAAAATGAAACGAAAAGCGTCAGCCTTCGGCCCGCAACAGCAACGCAACTACTTCACTCCTTTTCACCACTTTACAAGTGCCTCAAGGAGTGGGGGACTGGAGGACCCCCTCGGGAAAGTCATTAAATTACAAAATGGTGAAAAATTCCAACAAACGGCAAAGCAATCCCTCAAGTCCCGACCTGTGGGTAACTGAGGGACTGCCTTCGGCAGGGACATACAAGCAACAACTCCTCACCAACTTCAAAGATTACAACGGGACAACATCAAAGGGCATGCACAAATTACTCCTTTTCCCTCAAGTACCTTTCGGCAAAAGAAGTGAGGGACTCCTGATGGAGTATATGGCCCGGGAACCCCCGGCCCACAGACTCCTACTACACAAATAAAGGCCCAACCGGCCCAGGAAGCCCAGCAGGCCCAAATTACGGCGCCCCAAGCACTTAGCAGCCCACAGCGCACGCTGGAGAGCCTTCGGCCAGGGGCCGAAGGCTCAGAACTCTCACAGAACGGGTTTTCAAGCAAGCTAAGAAACTGGGAGAAAAACGGCAGAAAACAATAGCCCTCGGCACCTGGAGCCCTCGGCACCCAGGGGGTCCCCGGCACTCAGAGCCCTCGGCTAGTCCTCTGCAGCCGAGGGCACCTCTCCTGACATGATATCCGCGCCACATGCGTACAGATCACCGTACCCTGTACAACGTCCCATCCAACAGCCGCATTAAATGCGGCCACATGCGGCTGCCAGCACCAACCAGTTGAGGTGACCTCTCGGCCAATGGACGCTTGACACGTGTCCCTGTCCGGCATTTATTGCTACTATAAATAGCACCCCATTTCCCCGTTTGTAACCAGGTCACAAGTCATAAACGCTGCATACTTTCTGAATACACTTTCTCTCTCTATACTTATTTGCTCTGACTTCTCTCTTGTTATTCCCCGCAATAACCCCCCGGATAAGCTACCCCCCCGGGTACACTATCCATCATTACCAATCCAGGAACCAAGTGGGATCGAAGGGAATCGAGATTCACACGAACACATCAAGCAAGCTGATTCACCTTCACCACTTCGGTTACCACCCCACTCATCTAATATTCTTAGAATAGCCCATAATTCATACACATCTATAGATCTTAGATTAGTTGGTAGTTTAGTTTAAACCCATGTAAACTAAACTAGTGTTAGACATTCTGGAGGGCTTTGTGATTAAATCCTGAAGGTGAGAAGGGCAAGGACATGAGTAGCTCTTGGTAAGCCAATGCCATTAGTGAAAAACCTTGAAGGACATGAGTAGCTTTTGGCAAGTCAATGCCATTAGTGAAAAATCTTAGAGGACTGAGTAGCTTGGAACGATTTTCAAGTTCCTTGTGAAAAACCTCACAATCTACGCCTGGGCCAAGGGTAGATTGGACACTAAATGTAATGGGATATTCATTTAGTGGAAATCCATCTGAAATAGGTTGGGACTGGATGTAGGGGGATTACACCACCTCTGAACCAGAATATATCTTGTGTACCTTTTATATTCAGCACCCAACACACACTTCAGTTCTCACTCACCTTCATACATTCCCAGAGCTTGCATATTCACTCTCCAGAAAACTGTCCAAAGTTTTTTGTGAATCAAACTCCTTACTTCCATACTTCAAAGAGATATATTTCAATGGGTCTAAATCCTTCATACATATGTGCTTTGTCTAATCTCAAAAGTCAAACAATGTTCAATGTCTTAGATCATACTTATGCCTTGAATATTGACTAAGCAGCTAAATCGGGTGCCTGTTCCTAAAGAATCAAGTAGTTAGCTCATGAAGTCAGCAGTCAGCTCCTGAGAAATTCAGCAGCCAGCTCCTACTTTCAGCAGCCAGCTCTTGAAGGATTCGGTAGTCAGCACCCTGAGTCAGCTGATTTTGGCAAACACATCTGCACCATGTCTATCCATCTCTCTCACAACTAAAAGGGTCACAACACTTGTTACTATAAAGTGTCACACTTTTGAGGTTAAGACTTCCGCTGCACGTTTCAATATCTCCCAAAAGATATTGGAACTCATTCTGTTTGAGGGAAAAGGGTTGAAAAAGAAAATATTTTAAAAGTCTATTACCCCCCTAGACTTTTACCTCACCAGAGACCATCATTATAGACAAACACATATAATCATGATCACATGTTGGAGGTCCTAAACAACCACACCTTAAAATGGATACAAAGTAGTCACAATTTACATCACAGGCCTTTTAGCATAGGCAAACACACCTCAAAATCATCACAGATTCATCATAGGTGCCTTACCATAGGCAAACACAGATAATGTAACGCCTCAAAATCCGGTTTAATCGTTAAGTTATATGTGAATAAATTTATAGTATCAATATAAATAAATAATTATATTTCAGTCAAAATTGGTAAATTTCTTCCTAATTAATTCTTCTTGAATTTACTAAATAAGAAACTCTTAGTCTTATTTTATGAAAATTTCCAACGTACATGTTTATAAGAGTTAAGATTTAAAAAAAATTAAATAGCATATAAAGTGATAAGTCAAGGATAGGGTCTATTAGATTTATAGCTCCAATATTTTATTCATTTACATAATGAATTGATGACTAATACACTCAAAGAACTTGGAAGAATAGTGACACAACCAAAATTTATCCCTGTAATGCGTCATTTGTTTTAAAAGTGATAAGGATAACAAAAGGACCACATGTAACCATCCGCCCTTGGTCGAGACTCTGAGTTAATCGTCCTTGACAAAGCAATATAACTCGCTAGACCTAAATTGGGCAACAAACAGTCATTGACGATTACCGTAGACCTCTCATCCCCAAACCTAATGCAAGAGTCTTACAACATAAAAGAAAATAACAACAAAACACAAACGTCTTAACTTGGAAATTAAAATGCAGAAAAGATAAGTAAGCAAACTCCAAAATGCGTTGATTAATCCTTGACGATGGTTCTGGGTGAGGCCGGACCCTCGCAACGATTGTTGTTGCACCAAAACGATTTTCCTCCGACTCGGCCGCCCCTTCTTCATCATTTTTGTTGTACCAAAGCGATATCCCCGGGTGCCAAACAGATGCCATCAGATCTTGGAACCCCGGAAGGCCGATCTTCCTGTCCGTAATCACGACGTCAACTTCTCCTGACATGGAGATCCCCTCCCTTCGTTCGTCCCCTGCGTCTTCCTTTTTGGCCAAACCCAAGTCGCGGCCGAGCCCTTCCGACGAAGCACAGACCACTGCCGTCGTTCGCCTTCACCACAACCTAAGCACCGTTCTTCGTTAATAAACGAAAACGGGAAACGAACCCCAGCGGCGATAAGCCCTAGGGAAGAAACGAGACCCCAGCGGTGATAAGCCCTCGGGAAGAAACGAGACCCCAACGGCGATAAGCCCTAGGGAAGAAACGAACCCCAACGGCGGTAAGCCCTAGGGAAGAAAACGGAGTGAGACTGAGGGAACGTTTGTATTCCGAACACAATTTTCCTTTCCTTAGTTTTTAAGTGACAAAAACATTTAGTTAAAGAAGTATTACTTTAAGGCGATAGCAGTATATCAAGAAAAAGTTCAAACTTCAGGGTTTTTAGGATAAATTTTGTCTATAAGGTCAGTACGTTTCTGCCCCGTTTAGATTGATGTGTGTTTTAGTATTATTATTTTCCGTCCCCGTTTCTTGTTGTGTTATGGGGATGATGACATTGTATAATTTAGTGATGTCTCATCTATTTAAAAAGTGTATTCTTTGAATTTATGGAATACTAGTATTTTAAATAAATCATTAGTATGTAAAATTTAGTAGAATTACAATCAGTTAGTTTAATGAGTAAAATGTTTTTAGATGCTTTTATGTAACCGGCCAACATGTGATCTAGGTAGCATGAATGCATTAGCTAATTAAACACATATTTGTTATGACCTGTATGCATGTAGCTTATATTTAATACTCCTTGTGTCCCAAATTGTTTTTCAAAGTCAACATTTTTTGGTAAACCACTAATAAAAGTCAATGCTCTCTATCGATAATTAATTCAATTTTTAATAATTAAAATTTACATATTCAGAAATTACATTAAAATCTCTTCAAAGTTGCAAACTCCAAATTAGAATATAATAAAAAATTGATATCGTAATTAAACGAATAAAATGAAACTGTTTGACCAATAAAAGTCAAATTTGCAAATCAATTTGGGAAGGAAGTAGTAACTTATACTCCCTCCGTCCCAATTTGATGGTCTCATTTCTTTTGGGCACAAGTTTTAATAAAGTGGTTGAAAAGGTAAGAGTTGTGGTTGAGATTTGAGTATAATAAAGTGAAATGATATGGATCACATCTTTCTTTTCAAAAAGGGAAACATGACCATCATTTTGGGACATCCCAAAAAGGAAATAGAGAACCTAACGGAGCTAGTACTGCTCTATACTAGTACTACCTTCGTTCCTATTAAAACTTCCAAATAGGTTTGGCACAAAGTTTAAGATAGTGGGTATTGTGTGGTGGAGAGTTGTACAGAGGAGAGAGAAATGTGTAAGAAATGTTGTGAACCACAAATTCTTTACTAAAAAGGGAAAATGGAAGTTTTAATTGGAACGGATGAAAAGGGAAAGTTAGAAATTTATTTAGGAATGAAGGGAGTAGAAATTTAGATTACATATGTCGATATGTTAAAAATTCACATAAGAAACGTGGATGAATTTGGCACGAACAAAACACCCGACCCTGTTTACGCAGTTACCGATATTTGGCGAGTTCCAATATTCTTTCTTAAGAATTAAAAAAAGTCAGCAACGGCATATTCTAATATTCCGCCTTTGCTCGTGCTTTGCTCTTCTCATATGCTCTTCTCAAGAACGGATAATAATTGCCGCCTATTTCCGAATCGATGAATTGTAGCTCTTCTCATATGCTCCACCCAAGCTTCCGAGTGAGACATTCCTTCTCCTACTACAGGGTACAAGAATCTTGAAAGCATTGTTGGAGGAAGATAAAAGAAAAAGGAGTGGTTTCGTTTCTTTCATGCGAGATTGAGGTTTCATCACAATCTAAAACAAAAACAAAGAAAGAAAAGAATGGGCCTGAAGCGTCGATTCACTTGCTTAATCTTTGGATTGGGTTTGATTACGAATCTCACCCTGATATCCGGCGGGGTGACCAGTAGCTATGCGACGGAGCACGGATCAAACCCCGATATTAGCGATATGCCTTTGGAGAGTGATGTCTTCAGAGTCCCTACTGGCTGCAATGCGCCCGAGCAGGTTATCCCCTGCTTTAATCCTAGAGTTCATCACCATTTTTTCTTTTCTTTATTAAAGATTCCATTTTTATTGTAATTTTTTCATTTCTCTATACTTACCATCAACTGCTATCCAGAAAAAAGATCATTCTGGCACTCGTTATGTAAGAAGTACAAATATCAAAGTACACCTCAATTTTAAAAATGCAATAACCCTACATTTATACATGTGGTCAGAAATTGAGAATTAATAACCCAACATTTATCCTGTACATTCAGACTGAATGTTGAGATCAGGCAGCACTACGGCAGAGGGTTTGCTTCCCTTAGGAATTGATTTGTTGTAAGAGATAGTACTCCATCCATCTATCATTTTGGACAAAAAAAATTGCTCTATCAAGTGAAGCTAATATTTCCCTCAACTTTTCAAATTAAAAGTTTTGAGCAAAATAAATATCATAAATTTAGTTAAAAGTAATAACTTTTAGTTTTTTGGGAGGAGGGTTTTATTAATGTACGTACTACGTAGTATTTAAGATCATATTGAAAGTTGAAACATATCTTAAAAGGTGGTTTTGTGTTGTTTGAATTGAAAAGGATTTGGGTTTTGAAGGTACATATAACACAAGGGGATTATGAGGGGAAGGGAGTGATTATCTCTTGGATTACACCTCATGAACCTGGATCAAACACGGTGGCTTACTGGGCTGCTGAGAAAAGTAATGTTAAGAGCCGTGCTGAAGGAATCGTTGTGGCCTACAAGTTTGGTAATTACACCTCTGGCTATATTCATCACTCCACCATAAAAAACCTAGAGGTTTGTACCATTTTTTTCATATAAAAGCATTGCTTAGTTTTCCGCTGACGGTTAACCAATAGGATAAATCAAAACAAAATAAAAGACGGGTTAAATATGTTGTTTTTTGTGCTGGACTCCATGTAAGTAGATAGTTTTTTGTTTTACATATCTGCAAAAAGAAAATGTTATTCATCACGCCTAGCCTTTTCTTGTCAACTACAAGAGGAGTTAGCAATCAGCAAAACACTTTATCAGTCTTTCTCCACTTTAAACTTACGCCTTTTCGGCTCTTTGGAAATAAAATAATAAGCATTTTTATATAAAAATGACGTGGGAAAATAAAATGGAGTGATGTGGTCCACTAACTCCACTTCAGGGTTTTTTAAAGTTGCTGTTGACGTAGAGAGACTAAAAAGTAAAATAAAAGTAATTTACAGGGATACATACCAAAAAAGAAATTCCAAAAGGATCTATAACAAAAAAGTCCCTATATTTGATGGAACCAGGAAATATGTATTTAAGGCAAAGATTAGTGAGAAGTGTGACAAATTGCCTTTTAAATATTTCTGCAGTATGATACAAAATACTACTATGAACTGGTGGGTGGATTGGGGGATGATGCTACGATTCGGCAGTTTTGGTTTGTTACTCCTCCTAAACCTGGACCTGATGTTCCTTATACATTTGGTTTAATAGGTATTATTTTATTGTTGTTAATATTATTGTTATTATTATAATTTATAATTATTGTTGTTGTTGTTGATATATTATTGTTATTGTTATTAGTATTATTATTACTATAGCTATTACTCCTATTCTTATTCCTATTCCTATTTATATGTTGATGAGGTGGTTTATGGAACAGGGGATCTTGGTCAGACTTATGATTCTAACACCACATTGACCCATTACCAATTTAACCCTGTAAAAGGACAAACATTGCTGTTCGTGGGAGACCTCTCCTATGCAGATAGGTATCCAAATCACGATAACAACAGGTGGGATACATGGGGAAGGTTTATAGAGAGGGTTGCTGCCTATCAACCATGGATATGGACTGCAGGAAATCATGAAATTGATTTCGTCCCTGATATTGTATGTGTATCTTCATGCCAATCAATGCTTTTAAGTTTATTACTGTTTTCTTTTCAAATGAATCAGTAATCACTAGAATCTTTATTTCTTGTATCTATTATTGATATGCATTTTGCACCTTCTGGTATTTAACTACTAAAATATTGAGGAATCCTTGAAATAGGTTTACAAGTCAATAGATTCAATCGAGCTTAACAAAATCTTTTTCCGCCATTTTTTATGTTATCATGTTTGTGATATGGATTTTGAACTTAATGGAACGACCCAACATTTGCATGCGGTGTACCAAAAGTAAATCACGTTTGCCTTTAGCGTCAATGAATGGTTGTAATGTTGGATTGGGGCATGAATAAGAGATTTACTGAATGTAGTTTGGTAAGACATAATGAAATGTTATGTAATAAAATTATTACAATGTACTTTTACTGCACCCCATCCCAAACTAGACCCTGGAATCATTATGGGTGACTATTAACTTCTTGTTTCTATATTTCAGGGTGAAACAGTACCGTTTAAACCATACACACATCGATTTTATGTGCCATTTGAAGCATCAGGAAGCACTTCGCCTCTTTGGTACTCTATAAGAAGGGCTTCAGCACATATCATTGTCTTGTCTTCTTACTCGGCTTTTGGTAATATAGTTTATTTACTGGCATTAACACCAACGTTTATCCCAGATTAAAAGATTTAAGAGAGAAAGAGAGAGAAATGAGTTTATAAAGCGTTGAGTTAGATTGCCTTCCCCATCCAAATTTCTATGTTACTCACGATCTTTAATTTCTTTGCTGGGGGTGGGGTAGGTACATATACACCACAGTGGAAATGGTTGGAAAGTGAACTAGCGAAAGTGGATAGGAGGGAGACAGCGTGGCTCATTGTGCTCATGCACTGTCCAATGTATAGTAGTAACATGCATCACTACATGGAAGGGGAATCGATGCGAGTGCTATATGAACCCTTGTTTGTGGAGTACAAAGTTGACGTTGTTTTCGCGGGTCACGTTCACTCTTATGAACGATCTGTGAGTGTAACCTTTTTTAGCTTGCGAGTTGATCATTTAATTTTAAAAAAATAATACGGAAAAGGGGTTAAATAGACCTTCCAACTATTCCAAATCCATCACTTAAGTGTTTCTTCTAAAACAAGTACTTCATACTACGTATTATACTACATATTAGAACTGTTACAAAACAATCAATTTGACCAAGTTACAGGAGAACAACCCTTCATAGAAGGTCATATGCTGATTTAGAAGGTCATATGCTGATTTGGCATATGTGTTTCTTTTTTATTTCTCTACTTTTATTTTTCCTTTTCTTTTCTTCTTCTTCCCCATGGCCTTTATTCCCATTCCCTCCCTCCCTGCTTCCTCAATTGTTATGTTTTTATTTTATTTCTGCCTTTTCTGTTTTCCTCTAATGTTTCTTTCTTTTTTTCTATCTGACCTGTTTTCATTATAAATCTCCAATGTTTTTCACACAAGCTCAATATTGGACTTTCTAAAGTTTAAGACCCATATCTAAGAGAACTTTTTAATAATCAAGCAAGCCAAACAGTGTTTGTTTACCAGACATTAAAATGTTTGTTTTTACCAGACATTAATTTTTTTGTTTCTCCCCCATTTATTGTAAGAAAAACAGTGTTTTAGTTTTGTTGTTACTGTTGAAATGGCTAAAAAAAAACGAACGACCCTTCTACCCCCTCATGTTTTAGTTATTGTTTCATTCCCAGTTTCAGCCACTTAACTCATTTAAACTGATTTTGACCTCACCAAACAGGATCTTAGAAGGCTCCACAAAATAAGTTTGAATGTTTATTGACGCTTTCGTATGTCAGGTTATCTGTTCTATATTTTTTCCTAGTTTAACATACTTTTCTTTATGGGGGGTTGTTTCTAGGTAAAACGAGAAAGAAAAATGCATGGCTAGTAGAAATACTCAAATTAAAAATATGTTGTAATTTTGATCAAACATTGTTTTACTTGTTGTAAGTTTTCCTTTCGTAGATCCGCGTATCAAATGTTGCCTATGACATAGAGAATGGACAGTGCAGCCCTGCAAAAGATGGATCTGCCCCTATATATATAACCATAGGAGATGGTGGAAATTCAGAAGGATTAGCCATTGAGTATGTATTGGTTATTATGACACACGCACACTATCACGCACGCACATGTCTATAGTTTAAATTAAATTTGATGTGAGAGCTCTCTCATAGTTTTGAATGAATGAGTAAAATGTTGGTACAGGATGAGACAGCCACAGCCAAGTTACTCGGCATATAGGGAAGCTAGCTTTGGTCACGGGATGTTAGATATCAAGAACCGAACACATGCCCGTTTTGGATGGCATAGGAATCAAGACGGGCTTGCTGTTGAAGGTGACTCCTTATGGCTCATTAACAGATATTGGAAGTCATCATTGTCGTCCTCATTAAAGGCCGGGAGAGCTGCCACCTCCATATGATATGTGTGTGTGTGTGTGTGTGTCTATTATGCTGGTGCGGTTGGACAAAGTTGCAGCAGCTGGTGGCTAGCTGAATTGAACTGAGCATCTTTCTACTCCCAAGTTTGTCTGTAGTGCGTGTACATTAGTTATTATTCGTTTCCTTCTTACTCTCTAGTTTGTCTGTTGGAGAATGCAAAGTATTCCGTATTATTTAGGTCTGAACGTTCTTACCAACTATGTACTTATCTAGTTGCCAAATGCTTCACAGCCATGATTGTCATCCAGAATGAGTGGCAGCTTTTGGTGTTATCCCAAGTTTCGCAGTTGGAGAATGCATGAAAATATCATTTATCTAGCTGCCAAGTGCCAAATGCTTCACGGGAATCACGGCCATGTTTGTCATCCAGAATTAGGGGTGAACCCAACCGGTTCGGCCTGGTTGGTGCTAACCGGGCTTGGGCTTTTACCCGGTTGGGGCGGGTTGGGCAGGCCGGGCTCGGGCCACGTTTTCCTTGAACCGGCCTAGTCGGGCCAGGGCTTTTTTTTTCATTTTTTTTGTTTTTCTTGGTTAGGGCTGGGTGTTTTGGGGGGGTTTGGGGGGTGGGGTGAGGGGGGGGGGGGTCGGGGGTTAATTAGAAAGCAAAAAAAAAACATAGAACCGAACTCGACCCGGACCGGTCTGGACCCAACCTGACCTGATCCGGACCGGGTCTGACTCGGACCCGGTTTATACCCGGGCCGGTTCCGGTTCAACTTTTCCCCAAAAAAAACCCACCCGGGCCTAGGCCCGACTCAGAATCGACCCGGCTCGGGTCCACCCCTATCCAGAATGGAGTTTTGCAGCGTTTGGTGTCATTTGTTTTCAAGGAATACTTGTTTTTAAAGGAAGAAAAGCGCTCTCAAAATAATTGTGACAAGAAAACGAAAAAAATCCCCCCTAACCGTTAAAAAAGTACTCTCTTGGTTGGAAGGCGGGCCCTTCAGAAAAGTTGGTTTTATTACAGAAATGTTGTTTAAAGAATATCATGTGGACCCTTTTACAGAAAGTTGGCTTTTATTACAGAAATGTTGTTTAAAGAATATCACGCAGACCCTTTTTCTGATACTAAGTCAGGCCTGTTATGTGCTAGACTGCTAGTATGAATTTATATGGTTGGACCCTCTTAAGAAAAACTTGGTAAAAAAAATCATTGATGCCATGATCAAAACCTTCTTGGTTGGAAGGCTATTCCATGTCTGAATGTGATTTTGTGTCCATATAGAGAGAGTTTGTTTCAAATTAAGTGATTTTCAAATGAAAACTAAGCACTAATTTTGGTCATTGATGTGAAAAAATGAATGAAAAAGATCGCATGCAAAGAAAATAGTGTAACAAATGTGTACGATAACATGCAAAAGTGCACATGTAGAGCACAAAAGTGCATTACCGTATATAATAAAATATGCACAAGTTATAAAAAAAATGGCAATCTTTTTTAAAACTCATGGGTGTACTTTTATTCATTATCTATCTGCTTTATACTATGAACACTTGTACATTTTTGACGTGTCTTGTGATTAAAGTTCATCCGATCCATCAATTTCAAGTGATTAAAGGTCAAGCTTTGCTCTCACTTTTCATGAGAAGACTATCTTTTAAATGAATCACTCATATATATACATGGGGCGAATTAGGTGCTTATTGTGCAAACGTTTGTATGTTGCATCTTCATGTTATTTGTATTGCATGTTGAGGTTCAAAGTGTTGCATATTATTAAGTAATAAAACAGTAGTTGCATATTAACGCTCAAAGAGTTGCATCCTAAAAAAGTTGGCTTTTATTACAGAAATGTCACCATGACTTTATAGCCTTTAGATCAACTCATCGGACATGCAAGATGAGTTTGTAGTTTGTAAATTAGGAGGTATTTGTATTTGATCTCTTATCTTTATACACACACAAAGAGAGAGGGAGAGAGAGGAGTATAGATCAAATACAAACCCTCCTTAATATACAAACTACAAACTCGTATTGGTCATCCAATGAGTTAATCTAAAGGCTATAAAGGCAAATTGCATTTTTGTAATAAAAGCCAACGTTTTTAGGATGCAACTTTTTTAACATTAATATGCAACTGCTGTTTTATGGCTTAATAATATGCAACGCTTTGAACCTCAATATGCAATACATAGATATTGGGTGTGTGTGTGTGTGTGTGTGTGTATATATATATATATATATGTGTGTGTGTGTGTGTGTGTGTATGTATGTATGTATGTATGTATATGTGTTTACACACACATAGTTTGGATAGGTCTTAACGTGTAAAATAAGAATTAATCTCAATGGTCCAAAAGGTCAATTTGATGCATAATAAACATTTTCTGATGCACGTTTCCAATATCTACGAAAACGTCATCGCATTTAGATATTCGGAAAAGGCATCTGATAAAGTATATTCAAAGAGTGCATTATTAGACAATAGTTATTGTGCATCACATTGATCATTTGAATGATTGAGATTAATTCTTATTTTACACGCTAAGTCTCTTTTTTATTTGAACATCCCCTAAATATATATATATATATGTATATACTCTAAAGATCACCATAGGTAGTTCAGACAGGAGCCACCATCCGAACTTGTTTATTTGAGGTGCTTCAAGATGAGTTTTTTTATGAAAGTATTTTAGCTTGTTGTTCATGAAATGTTGATTATCACCGCAAAATTTCAATTTAAAATTCAATCAGAAAGTCAATCAAATAATTTTTTCAAACTATTTAATCAATTGAATATATTATCTCATAAACTTATACTCCGTATAAAAAAATAATCATTCTTGTTGTACTCATCCTTATACCCACCTTATATCAATCATGTCTGTTAAGATTTTTTTGTCTATGAATTCGATTCACAGATAAAATATGTCTTATTTTGTCTGTGAACGGGATTAAAATTTGCACATATTTAGATACTCCGTATAAAAATAGTATTAGAGTGACTACAAACAGCCTTTATCAAAAAATCCGGAAAGCCATCAAATAGAGGTACCATGATAATTACTACTCGTATAAAAATATACTCCATACTCGGTATTTAATTTGGTGGACAGTACCAGCTTTTGAAAATCAGAAAATCAATTTTCGCAAATCACCGATCCACGATCCGACCTAGGGCATTCTTCTCACCTTTTCTTCTCCAATCATCATCTCTGGGCGACGCAACCCTTTAGGCCGGCGCTTGCCTTCTCCAGCGAGAGCTTCTCGGCCGACGCTTCTCTTCTCCAGCCCACACAAACTACTGTCTTCAATTCCAAGGTCTATCGCACCGGCCATGGCGATGCAAGCTGGCATGGGATTATCTAAGATAGTTATCTTATTGGGAGCAGGATACACCACTACCTTGCTTGTGAAGAACGGAAAATTATCTGATGTTTTGGCCGAACTTCAGAATTTGGTGAAAATTCATGAAAGTTCCGGAGAAGGTGCAGAAACGGAAGCAGTTCTTGCTGCGCAGGTTCGGCGATTAGCTATGGAAGTGCGATCATTGACCTCGTCAAGACCAATAACTGTTCTCAATGGGGGTTCTAGTGGTAACCTGACAAATCTTGTGGCTCCAGCTGCTGCTTTAGGGGTCCTAGGGTATGGCTACATGTGGCTGAAGGGAATCTCATTCTCTGACCTTATGTATGTAACAAAGAGTAGTATGGCAAATGCTGTTTCCAACTTAACCAAACATCTGCAGCATGTTTCTGATGCCTTAGCAGCAACAAAAAGGCATTTGACGCAGAGAATTGAGAATGTAGATGGGAAGCTGGATGACCAAATTGAGATATCAAAACATATTAGAGCAGAGGTTAGCGATGTACGTGGTGATCTTTCTAAAATTGATAATGATGTAGATGCAATACAGATGATGTTGTCTGGCCTGGATGGAAGACTTCTTTCCTTGGAAGAAAAGCAGGAGATTGCAAATGCAGGTGTTATGTATCTTTGTGGTAATCTTCACTTCACTGAAAAGCTCAACCGAGCTGGTGGTAATTCAGTGGGTGCCATCATGGGCCTCAGAGACATTATGGGTGCGTTGGAGTCAAGAGAGACGGGTAGACTCATTACAGATGGCAGCGCAATAGGTGGTTCTCCCATGTCTACTGATCCCCCTAGAGGCTTGGTCAGGAGGGCATCAATGAAGTGCTGATAAAAGTAATTTAATACAAGTATTTTTCTTTGTGTTTTGCTTTTGGATCGTCTGTTCTTGTTAATATTGGATTCAGAAGTAGAAGAATAAATAAATCAACTAGAGAACTACAAAATAAAGGGAATCTCTCATTATTCGTGAACAATAAGGTGCATCGTACTAGCTTGAGTTCTTAAATTCATCCCCACTTTAGTAAGATATCATTATTCCAATGTGGGTCATGTCAGTTCTTGAAACATCATCGCACTAGCTTTAAGTTCTTCAATCAACAAAAGAAAAATGCTCCTTTTGAAACAACGCTTTGATTATGTGTAAAACAATACAAAAATTTATCTTCAAATATTCTCTATACCCGCCCATCCCAAAATAGATATCTGGCTATGCTACTGATTGGTGTGCTTGTCGTGTTGTGTCCTAATTTGGTTTTAATTATTTTATTACCTTTGTTGATGATTGTTCTTGTATGACTTGATTGTAATTTATGAAACAATGATCTCAATTATCATCTCATTTTGTGCCTTTTGTGATATGAAAACTTAGATGAATGTTCATGTTCATGTGTTAAGGGGAGACCATCTCCAAGAATATTTGTCTTCTCTGTTTAAGTCTTATATGGTTTAACATGTCATTATTCACCAAACTTCATGAATAGACATACCACTTCAAAATAGAATTGCTGAAAGAAAGAAGTGATAACCCTTAAAAATTTAAGGGCTTTTCCATTCCAAAGGCATGTGCCTGACCTTTTTGGGCTGATGATGTGTCCAAGCTTTTTTGATACATCATATGTTGTCTTCTATTTTGGATGGTAAAGCTACTTATTGGTGCCTATTTCCAAGAAAAAAGACATTTTTGTATCTCATTTACGATATTTGGTTACACTTGTTTTTTTATTCAATGAGAAATGTAATCACAGCATCTGTTGTAGAGAAACATTGCATCTGTTGTAGAGAAACAATGCGTCTGTTGTAGAGAAACAATGAATCTGTTACACTTGTTTTGTTAGAAAGATTAATCCCTCTCTTATAAAGTTAGATCCCAAATCTTTAAAGTGTATTTTTTTCTTAGGTTATTCTCAGGATCTGACGAGTACATGTGATTTTGTATAAGCACATATCGGTATATTGTTTCTATTGATGTCTCATTTGATTGAAAATGAACTTTTCTCATCATACATGGAGAATGTTGAAAATATTCCACATGCTACTATTTCTGACCCAAGTGTCTAATACACTTGATTTATACCCATCAAAACAAAGCATCAGACCAAACTCCGCTTGTGGTTACTTAGCCTGATTCGGCCTCAATCTCATTTCATGAACCAACATCTTTAGGTCAAGTTTCTACTACATATCTTGTAGCATGCAATGGTACACAATCTTGTATTCATCATGTTTTTTCTTTTGTGACCTATAGTCATATATCCCCAACCTCACGCTCTTTTATTGCTTCTATCGGTTCCATTTTTGTTTCAAAATTTGTTAAGAAAACATTGTCTCATTCTGATTGGCGCAATGGCACAATAGAGGAAATGAATTATTTGGATCTTAATGGTATTCCGGATTTGGTAGACTTGCTCATAGGGAAGAGGTCTATTGGATCCATTGCATAGTTGAATGACCGACTAGTTGTGAAGGGTTACACTCAAACTTATAGCTATGATTACTTTGAACGCCTTCTCTTGTTGCTAAAATAACATATGTCAACTTACATATCTCACTTCCCGAAACTCATGATTTATACTTGCATTAATAATGCATTCTTGCATTGGTGATCTTCCAGAGTGATTTGATATAAAGAAACTTACACGATTCGTTGCTCACAGAAGTGTGGGAGAGTTTTTGGACTTCACAAGTCTTTATGGTAGATTGGTATGAAACAAAGCCCACATGCATGATTTGTGAATTTTCCGACGCCACTTACGTTAGTTATTTTTGTGATTTCATGAAACAAAAGTTTTTAAAATATTATTCACATATTCCGCATATATATGGTATTGCATTTGTTCTTGATCCTCGTTATAAACTTCCTTACTTGGCAAATTGTATAGATTACTATTATGCTTCTTTTTTTCCAACTCAAGAGTTCAATGATAATCCCATCGACCCTAAACAAGAATTCAACGAGGTTAGTAATTTATTTCATCAATTGTATAATGAATTTCATTCACAATATGGTAATGCACCCCCTCCCATGCAACGAACATCTTCTTCATCTAAAGGAAAATCACTTTTAAAATCCGCTTTTGGTTCTCTTTTGAAAAAAAGTAGAGCAACTCCCGCTACTGAACAAAGCTCAGGTAACGAGCTTTCTTTGTATCTAACATTGAATGTTGATTATGAAGTTGGTGATGACTTTGACGTTCTTAAGTGGTGGAAGGAAAATGAAAGAACATTCCCGATTTTATCAAAGATGGCTAAGCAAGTACTAGCAATGCCGATATCAACCGTTGCCGTGGAACAAGAATTCAGTGCGGCCGGCAACGTCCTAACCGATTATAGAACGAGGTTGAACCCGAGCTCTCTTGAGACACTAGTTTGCTTTCACGATTGGTTGAAGGCCCAACGAAGAACTCAAGAAATTACCATCACTCCCTCCCGCCACTTTATGGAGGAAACAACCGAAGGCGGAGAGTTCGATTGATTTTTTATTACAAAATGTATTACATTTTTTAAATTCATCCTAATTCTCAATTGTACTTCTTATTTGAAATAAATATACTTCAATTCGAATATAATATATTGTAATTGTAATAAGAATTATTCTAATTATATAATATTTTAAAAAAAATTAAATAGGTCCGGCCCGTGAACCGGGCGGGTGACCCGAACCGAACCGGACCCGGGGTTATCCGGGCCGGTTCCGGGCCTGCCATCCTAGAACTGAGGCCCGGCCGGTTCTAGGCCCGAACCGGGCCCGGCCCGAATCGAGTCCACCACTATGTTCAGACAATCAATGGATTCAATTGAGGGATTTGTAATGATCAATGGTCAATCAAATTGCTCTAGGTTTTATAGACAAAGGTAGATATTGTGATACTCGGTTGTGGTGCGTGTGGATGTTATTTTCATCACATAAAATGATAATGTGGGTTTTTTGCCCTTACAGATTATTAAGATTATTTTGGAGCCAATTTCGAGATGAAAGATCTTTGCTCATTAAAATACTTCTTCATTCTTGATGTAAAATAAATCAATATAGGCATATTAATATCTCAACTAAGAATGTATTTCATTTGCTCACTCAAAAAAGGCATGTATTTAAAGACTCAGAAAAGATATATTGGTTGACAAATGAGTTATATCAAAGTGTTTCGTCCAAACATTGCTTACTTAGAGCCCATTTGGAGACTTCTTTTTTCGGCTTATCAGGCTTATCAGCCAGCTTTTTCACCAAATACCTAACTTTTACTTTCGTGTGCTGAATTGTGTAATAAGCAGAAAAAGTAAGGTTGGAGTTACTTTTCTGGCTGTATTGGCTGAAGTTACTGCAGAGGACCATTTTAGCTATTTTTACATGTAATTTTTTCTTTAATTTATTAATAAAATATATTTTTAAAATATTTTTTTCTTGAATCAGCAGAATCAGTCAAAACAATCACTTCAACCAGAATTTCATAAATTTCAGCAGAATCGACCAAAACAGCCGATTTTCGTGCTACCAAACGGGCTCTTAATGGTGTATAGTTAGTCAATATATGATGTCTCTGACTGGTGATCATTAGACTGATGTAGAATATGGGGGTGTTTGGGACCAATTCTGATTCTGTTTCTTTTTTAAAGTAGAAGCAGAATCAGAATCAGTTTTCAGAAGCTGGTCCCACCAGCTTCTAAAAAAACTGATTCTAGGAGTAAATTAGAGCACCAGAATCACTTCTGCACTTTCACTCGAACACTCCAGCTTCTGATTCTGCTCCCTGGAGGTCAGTTACTTCTCAAAGCAGTTTTAAAAATCAGATCCAAACACCCCTAAATGGTCAGTTACTTAACGGGAGCACTAGGGTATGGTTTTGGTTATCGAGACCATGACCACACGAGAATAGAATTCTTTGGGAATGAGCTAGAATGCTAGATAATGAAGATGATAAGAGTAGAATGTGGTTTTCCAATTAAGTGCTAAGTTAGATAGTCACGCTATGTCATAGACTCATAGTCTACATGTGAGATGATATGATTATGGATACATCATTTATTGATGGATTGATATTTGATACACAGTTATACACCAATGTCTCTTAAGGTATGGCGTGAGTATTTCATTAGAGAACAAAGCATGTCATTTATTTGAGAGAAGATAGAAAGAATTAAAATTTTAGGATATTTTTACTTGAACTGAAAATTTGTAGCCTGGTTTGATCCGGAATGTGTGATCTTTGTGTATTTTATACTCCTTTTGTCCCGCTAACAATGGGACAAGAGAGAGTGACACGCAAATCAATAAAAAATGATTAATGTGGTTGATATTGAATTGATAAAGTAAGAATAAAGTAAGAATGGTTTAGAATCACACGAACTTTGCCAAATTTGGTATGAGACAATCTTAATGGGACGGATCGATAAGGTAAAACGGGACAATCATAGCGGCACGGAGGTAGTAATTGTCAAAGTCTAAATATGTAAAGTCTGTAAAGACAATAGGCAAGTAGGAGATTTGTTTAGAGTACTAAAAGTGATTCAAGTTGCTTTATTTATGTAATAAGTTGGTGATAAAGAATATGGAAAAAATTCCACTTTTCGTCCCGTGACTATTATACCACTTTCACATTTAGTCCCTTACTTTCAGATTGTCCACATTTAGTCCGTGATCATTATCCCCTCACCACCCCTCGTCCTTCCGGCCAAAATTCCGACAAATTTAATGCAGATTTTGGGTATGAAAAAACAAATTTAATGCAAAAACTGATATAAAAAACTTAACCTTATATAAAATTTATTGCAAAGACTGATTCTGGGGTTGATAAGTGGACTAAATTTGCCAGCATTTTTGCCAGAAGGACGAGAGGTGGTGAGGGGATAATGGTCACAGACTAAATGTAGACAATATGAAACTATGAAACTAAAAGACTAAATGTAGAAGTGGTATAATAGTCATGGACTCAAGAGACCAAAAGTGGAATTTTTTCGAACATATGTATGTTCTGACTCAAAGGGTGAAATATATTAGAATAATTTATGAACATGCTTTGAAATATTTTAAGGAAACTCTCTCGACCCTATCTCCTTGTAAAACTTGATCATATCAATTTTTCTTGGTAAAAGATTCATATTTGAACAATGATAATTATTACTCCGTAGTATGAAATATTTAAAATATGAAAATATTCTATTCAAAATTAAAAATACTTTTATAAGCTATAGATTTAAAAATTTCACACAAATGTAATAACTAAAATCATTGATCAAGAAAGATCAATTTGATCAAATTTTTATGAGACAAAGAGTATATATTCTGAAAAATTATTAACAAAATTTCTATTTGTACACACTTTTATACCCATTGTCTGTGACAAAACATTTTTTTTGTCTTTGAAACTCGTTCCCAAGCAAACAAAATTTGTTTGAAAGTTTCTCACAGAGTCACAGACGGTGGGTACAAAACTACAAATATGTGTATAAAACAAAACTTGTTTGAAAGTTTCTCACATAGTCACAGACGATGGGTACAAATGTGTGTATAAAAGTGTGTACAAGTAGCAAACTTGTATTATTAAACTATAGAATATGATAAGATTGTCCTATCTTTATCATGTATATTCATAGAGACTTGATCAACCAATATAGAAATCTCTTCAATTCACAGTATTTTCTATCTAATTAATTCCTTTAACAAATTTAATGAAAGGAAGTTAACATACAATCAAAAAATGAAACGAAGTGCACGGTATCTTTCCACATAAGAGGATAACATGGATTGATTCTATGGCTTTATGCTACTCCGTATAATAATAATGTTACAATAATCAAATTCAAGAGTTGCTGGGTTGGAACTTTGAAGTAATAAATACTGTATGAACTTTGACAGGGTAAGAGAGAAGAATGCACACAAAATTGAGCAATAGAAATTCTAAGTAAAGCTAATATTAAATCACAAAGTGCATCATTATACAAAGCCAGTTCTTTGAAATTGAGCAGCAAGGAGGGGCTATACTGAAGTTTCCCAATTACTTTCCAGCCACTACTATTAGCGCCCCATGATAAAGTCCTTGAAAGAAAAAACTGAGCTGCCCTCCTACAAATCGGCAAAACACAAGTACCTATCACTCATCACAAAACTAAAATGGGTTTGCAGAGTATTAACGTTGAATTTCAGACTCAGGGCCCATTTGGTAGCCAGTTCAGGCTTCAAATTCTGCTTCAGAATATATGCAAATACGTAGAGCTTTTTGCTTGCTTATTATTTGGCTGAAACATGTGTGTTCCCAAACACTTTTTTCCAGAAAATTCAGCGTAATGAACTATTTCAACATGGTAATGGCAATAACCATTACCATTAGCCCCCTTAATTTTTTCTGATAGGATACTAACTAAGATCAGTTAGATTATAATGACAAGTAGAGGTCGGGGTCAAACCTTTCCGGCAGGATCTTGGTTTAAGGATTGTCTTACCACCGTTATCTGCTGTATTAACCTTTCCACTGCTGAATAGCTGGGGCGCTTTTCATGTGCTGCCCAGTCAACACCGAAAAGAAATACAAGAAGTCAGTTAATTTTTTGGGGGGGATGAAGATTTTATTTAATTAATAATGATGATGACCAATACTAAAACAAAACAAATAGAAAACCCAACAGAGGATTGCCCTATTCAAACTGTCTGCAACATGCTGTCGATATTCCAAGCCAAGTAGATGAAACATGGGTGACTTGTCTGGTTCCTCATAGGCCAAGAGAGCTATGAAGTCCTGCAAGTAACATACTCCCTTTTTGACACCCAAACAAAAGAACACCCAGCAACGGCAACAAGCAAAATAAGGAGTAATATGTAATTGTTTCAGGAGAACATATACATACTTCAAGCTTTTCAACATAAGTATGGATCTTCCCGAAAGGAGCCATATTTGTCTGAGCAAATTCAAGAGCTTCTATGCTGGTACAGTAAAGAAAGAAAAAATATGATCGCAGACTCGATAGAAGAAAATCCACTTCTCTCTGGGAACATTCATCCCGCAGAAGCTCACCATTTTCTTGAGGCCACTAGTTCAACAAAATGAAGGCTAAGTAGATCAAAATGTAGATCCTTGTTCATCTCCAGGATGTCTGGTGCAAGTTTTTCTGTTTGCTCAATTGCCTTGAGAACATTACCTTTGGTAGTGAAATCACAAATTCCTGAACAGATTAAGAATGATGAACCAAGAATATATTAAAAGGAAGGCGGGAGAACAAATTAAGACTTTGAAAGTGCAAAGAGTTCTTGGCTATCTTGAATCCTAACGGAACATATCTATGGAATTGAATTCATTCCGCATATGAGTGAATTTGGAAGCAAAAGTGAAGATTATGCGCTGAATATGAACATATTTGAATAAGGCGGAAAAAATCATTCCAATTTGGGAAAGAGTATAATGAGGAATATACATAAATATGTTCTTGCACAAAGGGGAAACAAAACAGAGGCAGATTTGATGATGATGATGATGTTGTTGATAAGACTAAGGGTATGTTTGGCACGACTAGCTGAAAAGATACTTATGTGAACTTTTTAGTAACTGTTAGCTTTAAGTGACTCAAAAGATCTTAAAAAGAAAAGGAGGTAGTTGTTTGGTAAAAAGCCGACTGTTTGATGTAGTTTTGTTTGGTATACAAGCTGTTAGGACAAATTAATACTAAAAGTCACGGTCTTTTCTCAGATTCTACTCCCCGTAGCATCTCAAAAAAGATCTTTTATTTTTTGAAAAGCTCTTAAAATATTCCATGTCAAACATACAACTAAAAGCTTTTAGAGACTTTTTAAACAGTAGCAAAGCTAGAAGGAAGAGACTTATGTCTGCCAAACATGCACTAAGGCGCCATTTGTAGCCAGCCACAATCGGCTTATTCTGCTAAACAGCTCAATTAGGTAGCTTTTGACTTCCTTATTTGGCTGAAATAGATGTTACCAAATGCTTTCCTTAAGCAGCAGATTCCATCATTTCAGCAGAAAGATAAAAAGTTAGAATGGTGGTGAAAGAAACCTACTTTTTCTCGTCTCCATATCCTCAATGCAATAAGAGGCATGTTGCTTCATCCCCGTGCTGTCAACAAATGATTCTACGGTGTCTTTGAAGCAATTGTGCACAAGATACGAGACAATCATGTTGTGCACATCTCTTTCACTCGCATCCTATTATAGTAGTAGTAGTACATAATATGCACAATCAACTGAAACTGGTATACATGACCAAAAATCCACTTAAATAAAAAACATTATGCTGAAAACCGCATCTCAGCTTGTGGCTTCTCCAATGAAAATAACAACGGAGTATGTAACAAATTTTAGTAATAATTCAGATCCATTGATATCTTGCTTCACCAGAGTGATTATATGAATATCACTTCGTTCTTATAATTAACTACTCCTTTAAAAAACCTCTACCACAGCCTAACATAGCAAATAAGGATTCCGTAAATATCTACAATTGTCAAGTGATTCATCAATGAGAACAATTCAACACCTCTAACAAGTTAGTTAATTTAATTTCCAAAGTAATCAACTAACAACATAAAAGAATAAAAGTAAAAATCATCCACTCAATTTCAGAAGCAATATAAAGATTCTAATGCTAAATTACGCAAGTCGCAGATTCCATTCTTTTTAAGGTGTTTATTCTTATTTCCTGATCTCAATTGCAATAGCACTTCAGCACACTAAAGACCCCATCCACAAAAAATCAATATAAATATCCCCAACCGGACGACACTCAACATAAATAAATCAACTAATCGTATTTAAAAAAAGAAGACATACGATGTTTTCGTATTGTCGGGGATCCAAGTCCATCATCAACCGACACTCGCTTGTTTATCGAACAACTTTCCTTTATTATTCTGCTATATGAAAAAGATTCGGCTAGGTCACGGTATCAATATTCGAGAGAGAGGGCGATTATCATTAAGGCGCGAAGATTGTGGAAACACGCCCAATTCTACTGTTCTTTAAATTGTTGGCAATCAATCAAAGGTATCCATCTGGTCGTGGGATTCAGTTAAAAACTCGCTCCTTAGAGAAGATGTGCTCCCTCTGTCACATAAACTTTCCTCACTTTAACACTTTCTAACTGATTTGTGATTTTGCATATTTTTCTCGTACAAATGACAGTTTTTACTATTCTTATTTCTCACATACTTTACACTTGGCAAAGTCTAACGGGACGGAAGTAGTATGAAGTATTATATACCCTCTCTGCCCCGAATTAATTGTCTTGTTTGCTTTTGCACAAGTTTTAAGAAAGTGGTTGAAAAGATAAAAGTTCTGGTTGAAATTTGAGTAGAAAAAAGTAAATTGATATGAGCCACCCATTATTACCAAAAGAAGAAACAGGATAATTATATTGGGACGGACCGAAAAGGAAAGCGAGACATTTATTTCGGGACGGAGAGAGTACTACTATGTCTGTAGCAGGGATATTTGATTAAGGTCTGATTGTGTGAGTACCTTAGAAGGATTCCCGTATGTGTTACGAAGTATATTCTACGGAGTACTATGTTTCTGGCTAGTACTTCCTCCGTTCTTTTTTAGTTGCAACGGTCAACATTTCACATTTGCCAAGGTACGTCTTTGACCGTAATTATATCTTAATTCTATTAGTAAAAAACTATTAAAATCGGATTTTGAAAATTTTTAATGAGTTGAATTGAACAGTTTTTTTAAAATCATAAAATAATAGCGTAAAATGTAGTCAAAGTAGAACATGTAAATAGTGTAAAGTTCAACATGTTGCGATTAGAACGGAACGGATGATAGTATTTGTTATTTATTACTCCCTCCAGTCCTAAATAAAGTTCAGTGTTTGATTTCACACAAATTAAGGAAATAAATTTGACTTTGCTGTAGAGTACACTGTTTGGCATTATTTGGCACTGTTTTGCTGTAGATAATTTGCCAAATAAGGAAGGGGAAAGAAGTGTGAACTTTATTTTGGACCGGTCCAAAAAGGAAAGTGTGAACTTTATTTAGGACAGGATGAAGTAAAAATTTTCATTTTTGGTCATTGTTTTAAATTTTGGATATCAGCATCCTCATGAATATATTCAATATACATATCAACTGTTTTTAAAATAAAAAACACTCAAGATTTACACAATAAACTCTTAAAAAACACTCAAGATTTACCCAATGAACTCTTGTCTCTGTGTATTTTATAACTACGAAATCAAGTTTGGTCTGGTCTGGTCTTTTTAAGTCTTGTCTGGCCTATTCTGTTTAAGTCTGATCTGAGACTAAAAAAATCCAAGTAAAAACGTGTATACCTAAAGTTCGCCAACTTTTTCATATATGAATCTGAATTGATGGTTGTCTTTTTCATAGATGAATCTGAATTGAGGGTTGTCTTTTTTGGAGACGATGTTATCCTTAGAAATTAGTATTTACAATGAAAATATGTATTAGAACTGTTAATATTTTCTTAGAGTAACGTTTTCTATCTTCATTATCTAAGAACTTTTAGTACTTGCACTTTTAATTTTAAAATTGTAGTTGTTTGACTCGTTTCTCGTTTTAAATTAACATCTTATTGACTATATTTATATTTTGATATACACCAATGTATATGAGATAAAAATATAAATTTATTTCTAACTATCTTAATAATGTGAAATGTTTCAATGTCATAAATAAGCAAAGGTCAAAGGATAATATATATATATATATATATTAAAAAACTGTAATTTTTAATATTTGTAAATACTCCCCCATAATTTTTAATATTTATAAATACACTCCATAACTTTTAATTTTTATAAATATGCTACCGTATTGGTGTCCTACTTTTTAGGGATTTGGCGTTTCCTCGTACTTGTTTCCCCATTTTCGTGTACCCGCATTGGTGCTACATACTTCGTATGTTATATTGCTATTTTAGGTTTTCTATGACTCAATAAGAGTTAAATAAACAATGTCGTGCAAAATCAACCGTTCTTCACTTGAGATGTTTTCAATTAGACTGAAATTTTCCTGTTTGGTTTGGCTTGACCTGGTCTGATTTGATCTGAACTGGTCTGATCTGGTAATGTTTGGTCTTTGTGTATGTTATAACTATCCAAGTCTGATCTAGTCCAGTCTGGGACTGAAAACGGTCCGAATGAAAACATTCCTCCTATTCTAGGGTCGGGTACACGCCCATTTTATCCATTTCCCATGGTTAAAAAACTTTTAAAATGTTAAAGTATCCTCCATGTATATGCAAAAATGAGATGTGTATAAAATCAATTGGTGTGTACAAAAATGAACTTTTCTACAAAATTAATCTCATTGTATATAAAAGGAATAGAAAAATCAGCCAAATTCCCACCTAAAGGTACGAGTAAAATAAATTAATCAAATCCACTAAAAAAATCTCATGTATTATGAATACGAATGAGAGAGTGTACAAATGAGGGAGAGTAGGGGATATACTTCATATATAGGTAGATACATATGCCTGATTAAATACTCATGGTCTTGGCTAGAGAGAGTAGTGTGTATTTAGATATTACATAACACTCCCCCTTAAATATACATTGCTAAAAATATATAAGGAGTACATAGAATATGTTTAAGGAGTGCTACCTCATTAAAAACCTTGTTGAGGAAAACCCTGTGAGACAAAACCTTGATAAGGGAAAGAGAGTACAACGTGTATTTACTCCCCATGATGAATATATCACTCAAGATCCTTGCGTCGACGTAATCCAATCAGGTGCGCTAACTTCTTGAAGGTTGCCATTGGGAGAGTTTTGGTAAATAAGTCCACAACATTGTCACTCGAATGAATTTTTTGAACGATAATCTCACCCTCTTTCTGGATGTCCTGAGTATATCAAAACTTCGGTGAAATATGCTTCGTCCTATCTCCCTTGATGAATCCTTTCTTGAGTTGGTAGATACACATTGCATTATCTTCAAATAAGATGGTCAAAGGCTCTTTTTCAGACCATAATCCACGTGATCATCTAATATATCGAATTACACATTCTTGATTGGCTTCATGAATGACTAATAGCTCCGCATGATTAGATGATGTTGCCGCAATTGTTTGTTTCATGGAACACCATGAAACTGTTGTTCCTCACATGTGAACACATATCCAATCTATGCTGTTTCTTTATAGGGATAAGACAAACATAATTCTTTGTCCACTTGCTTTCATTCTCCCATAATGTTGGGAAATGTGATTCATTAAAATGACAATCAACAAATTTAGTCATAAATAATAAACCCCTCATCGATGGCTCTAAATATCTTATTATAGAAGGAGATTCATAGCCAACATATATTCCCAGCTTGTTTTGGGGTCCCATCTTTTGTAAGTTGTGGTGGAGCAATATGTACATATACGACACATCCAAATGTTCTTAGATGAGAAATATTTGGTTCGTTACCCAAAATCAATTGTAGGGTAGATGACTCACAATAAGTTATTGGCTTGATGCGAATCAGTGGTGCTGCATGCAATACTGCATGGCCCTAAGCTGCAATAGGAAATTTACATTTCATAAGTAATTATCTTGCAATAAGCTAAAGTTGTTTAATAAAGGACTCCACGTGACCGTTTTAGGTATGAACATGTGTTATAGGATGTTCTACTTTTATCCATATGGACATACAATAATCATTAAAAGCTTGGGATGTGAACTCACAACATTATCAAGGCGAATTGTTTTAATTGGATGATCAGGAAAATGTGTTCTTAGTCTAATTAATCGACCTAGTAATCTCGCAAACGCTAGGTTGTGAGTCGATAATGAGCACACATGTGACCATCCAGTCGATTTATAGATCAAAACCATGAAATACCTAAGTGATCCCCATGATGGATTAATTGGTCCACATATATCACCTTGAATTAATTCTAAAAAGGAATGTAGTTTTGTTTTAGTTTTAGCCAGTGAGGGCCTACTAATTAATTTCCTTGAAAACAAGTGACAAAAGATAACTCATTAGATTGAAGAATAATATTCTGGTTCTTGCGTGGATGTCCACATGAGTTATTAATAATTCGTTGCATCATTGTTGATCCGGGATGGCCTAACCGGTCATGCCAAATAATAAACTTATCACGATCCATAAACTTCTGGTTTATGATCATATACGATTCAATTGTAATAAATTTGGTGTAGTTCAAGCCAGACGAGAATGCAGATAATTTTTCTAACACCCTTTTAATACCCGAACTTTTATCAGTTATTGACAAGTCCACTTTTGTACTTACTTTTCTTATCAAATTTAAGCGATTTTTGGATTGAAAATATAAAAACAATGCATGTTTTATATATTTTGGTTAAAGTTTCATGAAATCAGGTAAAAATCACATTCATAACATGTTTGGCGAAATTTCGGATCAATTGCGTGAAGAAAGTGGTATTTTTTGCCAACAAATGAATTGATACGGAAGTTTGCAAGATATGTTGACCAATTGTTAAATGAGAAGAGTCCAAGAGATGAAGAAATCATGCAAGGAAGCTCAAAAACCAAGAAGGAGTCGCCTATATGGCCAGTTTTGATGAAAATGGACGATGCATAAAGACACATGTTCGTATTTTGATCATAACTTGGCTCATGATTGCCCAAAGTTTGTGATACACGTTGCATTACATTGACATCTTCTTTATTTACAACTCTTAAGAAGAACATAGAACCAAATAACAATAGTATAATGGACATATTGCTCAAAAGAAGTCAGACATTTGCAGTTGCGATGGAAAATGACATGTGCTCACCGTTTTGGTCATATCTCATAAACTACACATCCAGTGCATGTAACTCAAATTGAAGAAGTTAGCCAAGACAGAAGTATACAACTTTGGTGAAGACAACTTTTCCATTTGACGTGATGCGGACGACAAGGCGGCCGTCTTTCTGGACGCTTACCAGTTTTTGACGGTTTCAACACACAACACTTTGAGTGGCCACAAAATAATGGAAGGCTGCTGATGGGGGACGCAGGGCGGCCGCCCTCCGTGGCCGCCTGCGTCAGGATGTGATTTTTGAGCTGCCGGTCTCTGAGACAAGACGGGAAGCAGCCAAAAAGGGCGGCCGCCCTCCATGGGCGCCTGCGGCGGATTTGATGTGTGCATGTAGGTCTGTCGGT